GCATACAGACCCTGCCCACAGCCGTCACTCCCTGGGCTCTCAATGTGAGGGAGCCTTGGGGTCCTGGGGTTCACCCATCTCCCCACCCAAGGAGTCTGCTTGCCAGCCCCCCCACCTCCTGAACCCAGTTGCCCCCTCCCCCCCCAACCCCCCTTCCACACCTGTTTTTTTTTTTTTTTTTCTGAGACGGAGTTTTGCTCTTGTTGCCCAGGCTGGAGTGCAATGGTGTGATCTCAACTCACTGCAACCTCCCTGAGCCTCCCAGGTTCAAGTGATTCTCCTGCCTCGGCTTCCCGAGTAGCTGGGATTACAGGCATGTGCCACCACGCCCAGGTAATTCTGTATTTTTAGATGGGGTTTCTCCATCTACAGACCATGTTTGTCAGGCTGGTCTCGAATTCATGACCTCAGGTGATCCACCTGCCTCGGCCTCCAAAAGTGCTGGGATTACAGGCGTGAGCCACTGCTTCCGGCCCACCACACCTCTCTTAACATGGATATTTGGATGACCCTGGGGCCCTGGGATGCAGGCAGGAGGCACTACTCCCCAGCCCCCACCAGGATCACCACCCCTGCACTGCTGTGTCTGAGATCCCCAGGCACCAGCAGGCCTCCAGTCACCCAGCTACAGGCTGAGCTTGGTAGACAGCCCTGGGGACACAGCCCTGCACACGGGGGCCCAGTTTGCAGGTGAAGGCCAGTCTGCTCTTGGGCCTGAGTCCACTCTTGGGGACACGCTGGCTCCAGATGCAGAGCAGGGAGTGCTGGGAGAAGGTAGAACAGCCCAGGCCCCTGCCTGGCCCCATGCCTGGGAAGTCCACTGCCCACTCAGCAGCTCCCTCCCTGCCGCAGCAGAGCCACCTTCCACAGCGCCTGCCCGCAGAGCCCTTCCCAGAGTCACTGCTCCTCCTGCAGGGAGAAGCAGAAAGGGGCAGGTGTGGGCATAGAGGACCTGAGCTGACTGCCTGGAACAGTATTGGGAGCCCTGTGCACCCCCTGCCAGACTCACCATCACCAACTGACCCGGCATGGCAAGACAAGGAACCTGGTAAGAGGCCACTGGCGGCTGGCCACATGTGGCCTGGTCCCCGGCGGCAGAGGACATAGGGCTTCTCCCAGCTGTGTGGCCTCAGACTAATCACCGCATTCTCTGAGTCCCCCTTGTCTTCCCAGAAGAATGAGGTTAAGGAGAGTACCTGCTGCACTGGGGTCAGTCCCTGCAGCGGGCCTGCTCTCACCTGCTGGACTAGGGGGTGGGCAGGCCACAGGCAGGGCTGGGATAGTGCCCGAGAGCCAACGGAGATGTTGGGTGGCCAGGGCAGCCCCAGAGCGGGCTCCACGTTAACCAGTGGCCAGAGTCAGACACACTGGGGTCCAGGTGTAAAAAAGCCGGGGCGTGGGTGGGAGCTGGAATCAGGGGTTGAGAGACCCTCCCCTGCTGCTCTCCGCAGCTCCAGGGAGATTCTGGCAGCTACGCCCCCAGCAGGGCAGAGATGGGGACATTTGCTGGAACAGGAGGCTGCCACAGCACATGGTGGGGAGGGGCAAGCAGCAGGAAGCCCCTCCTGGGTGGGGTCCTCCCCAGGGGCCCTTGGTGCTTTCATCAACATGGACTCCTCCCAACACCCAACCCCATGCACACCCACCTCTAGACCGAGAGCCCACTGGCCTGCAGTGCCAGGAGTCAGGCCTCTGACCCACCGGGCAATGCACACAGCACCCATGCATCTGTAGCATCCTCTGCCCGCCCCGGGTGGCTCTCCTATGCCCTCATCCAACAGGGAGACAGGCTGGGTGCCACTAAGGGAGGCACAAAAAGAGGAAGGTCGAATGTCCCGCCCAAGATCAGGGTCACACAGAGAGTCCGAGGCCAGCAAGGATGCCAGTGGCCTCTGCAACAGCCGCTGACTCCGCATCAGAGCAGGGACCATTAGACCGAGCTGGGGAGGGGCCGGCAGGTGAGAGTCAGCTCCATGAGGGGTGAGCAGGCTGAAGGGGCTAGCAGCACGGCTGGCCTCTCCCTGGTCTCCACTGTGACCCTGCGCCACTGGTGCTGCCCCTCCTGTGGGGGGATGCTGCCTTCCATTTGAGGGTGCCTTTTCCAATTGTACACCCGGAAGCGGGTATGACCACGGGACAGGCCCACTGGGATCGGACCCGAGTCAACGCTCCCTCGGTCACTGGGCCTTCATAAGCACCTGCTCTGTTAAACGTCCCAGTGACGTTTAACTCCAGAGTTAGCATCAGTTCAGAGCCCGCATCCAGGAGTCCCCAGAAGGTCTCATGATCTCCTTTTTCCCAGTGCACAGCCACAGAGATTCCTTTGGAGAAGACTGGGAAAAGGCAAACAGGATAAATTTGGCAGGTCCTTCCTCAAGGCACCCTGGCCCCCTCCATTCAGCAGTGTGGGTCTGCATGGAGGTTTTGGGTCTGTAACCTGGCTGCAGTCTGGGAATTCATTGGGGGCCATGGTTCTGGGTTTTTCTTGGGAGACGGGTTGTTTTGTTGTTGTTGTTTGTTTGTTTGTTTAAGATGGAGTCTCGGCCGGGCGCGGTGGCTCAAGCCTGTAATCCCAGCACTTTGGGAGGCCGAGACGGGCGGATCACAAGGTCAGGAGATCGAGACCATCCTGGCTAACCCGGTGAAACCTCGTCTCTACTAAAAAAAAAAAAAAATACAAAAAACTAGCCGGGCGAGGTGGCGGGTGCCTGTAGTCCCAGCTACTCGGAAGGCTGAGGCAGGAGAATGGCGTGAACCCGGGAGGCGGAGCTTGCAGTGAGCTGAGATCTGGCCACTGCACTCCAGCCTGGGCGGCAGAGCCAGACTCCGTCTCAAAAAAAAAAAAAATGGAGTCTCGCTCTGTTGCCCAGGCTGGGGTGCAGTGGCGCAATCTTGGCTCACTGCAAGCTCCGCCTCCCGGTTCATGCCATTCTCCTGCCTCAGCCTCCCGAGTAGCTGGGACTACAGGCGCCCGCCATCATGCCCAGTAGTAGAAGCGGGGTTTCACTGTGTTAGCCAGGATGGTCTTGATCTCCTGACCTTGTGATCTGCCCATCTTGGCCTCCCAAAGGGCTGGGATTACAGGCGTGAGCCGCCATGTCCAGCCTGACGCTGGGTTTTTTATTTGTGTTAGACTTTTTTTCACTTGACCTAGAACTCTTCTGCTTACACATCTTAAGTAAGATTCAGTCAGCCTGGCGCGGTGGCTCACATAATCCCTGCACTTTGGGAGGCCGAGGCAGGAGGATCCCCTGAGGTCAAGAGTTCAAGACCAGCCTGGTCAACTTGGTGAAACCCCGTCTCTACTAAAAAATACAAAAATTAGCTGGGCATGGTGGCACATTCCTGTAGTCCCAGCTACTCCAGAGGCTGAGGCAGGAAAATCGCTTGAACCCCAGAGGCGGAGGTTGCAGTAAGCTGAGATCGTGCCCCTGCACTCCAGCCTGGGTGACAGAGAATCTGTCTCCAAAAAAAAAGAAAAGAAAAGAAAGAGTTCAGTCGGCTTCTGTCTGTTTCACTTCTGGGAACACCATGATCCACAAGTCAACCTTGTGATCACTGGTTGAACTCTGCTGTTCACTGCGGTGGCCACGCCCACCTTGTTTTGAGCCTTTGAACCCTGTCACCTGGCCCCTGCCACCCTGGATCCACTTATTCCCCTGCGCTTAGCTTTCCCAACCCAGAGACTGCAGTTGCCACTGTAATTCCAGATCTGCTGGAGAAGAGTCATCACAGAACTCCTGAAGGAGGAACGTTCCCCTCACAGATTTATTTCTTGTGGGGGTGGTAAGAGGTGTGTCCTCTCCTCTCCCAGGGTGGGTGAGTAGGTCTCAAATGATAAATCCACTCTGACACTCCAACCTCCCCAAGCCCGTGAGTCCCATCCTCTGCCGTGCACAGAGGCAGGCCTGGCATTTCAGCCCCGCTTTGTGCAGGTCACTTTTTGGTCTGTGTGGTAGCTCCCCAACCAACCAGTCTAACCCCAGCAGTGGTAGCATGAAGTCCAGAACCTCTGCTTAGTGGACCCATATCAATAAATGCAACCTGACCCAATTTTTCATTCCTTCCCCCATTATCCCTACTGTAGGGTCTCCTGGTTCCCCCTACTTTTTTTTTGTTTGTTTTGAGACACAGTCTCACTCTGTCACCCAGACTGGAGTACAGTGGCGTGATCTCAGCTATACTGTGAGACCTTTAGGGCGGGGCCTCATCTATCTTGTTCACAGCTGTATCCCCAGCCATATATATATATATATATATATAGCGCAAATATTTACTGAAAGGATACTCAGTAAATATTTGCAAAAAAAAAAAAAGTGTTTTTTTTTTTTTTTTTTTTTTGAGGAACAGTCTCTGTTGCCCAGGCTGGAATGCAGTGGCAGGATCTTATCTCACTGCAACCTCTGCCTCCTGGGTTCAAGCGACTCTCCCACCTCAGCCTCCCAAGTAGCCAGGATTACAGGCGTCCGCCACTACACCCAGCTAATTTTCGTGGGTTTTTTAGGTAGAAACGGGGTTTCCTCATGTTGGCCAGGCTGGTCATAAACCCCTGACTTCAGGTGATCTGCCCGCCTCGGCCTCCCAAAGTGCTGGGATTACAGGCGTGAGCCATTGCGCTTGGCTTTTTTAACTATATAAAGGCCTGAAACTTATGTCCTGGCATCTCTGATGTTGTTAATAGCTGGGCCGGGGCAAGGTGGCTTACATGTGTAATCCCAGCATTTTGGGAGGCCAAGGTGGGAGGATCACTTGAGTCCAGGAGTTCAAGACCAGCCTCAGCAACATAGTGAGACCCCATCTCTACAAAAAATGTAAAAATTATCCAGCGTGGCGGTGCCCACCTGTGGTCACAGCTACTTGGGAGGCTGAAGTGGAATAATCGCTTAAACCCACGAGGTCAATGCTGCAGTGAGCCAGGCGGTCGGTACCACTGCACTCCAGCCTGGATGTCAGAGCAAGACCCCACCCCATCTCCAAAAATAAAAATAAAAAGACAGTACATCTGAATGTTTCATTTGTTTATTGATTTCCACCTGATTATTACAGAAAGTAATTACTTAAGATGGGGACTGACTTCAGCATCACCCACCCTCCTGTATGGCCAGGCCTCCGAGCATGTACAGTGAAGCACAGTCGCCACACCTTGGGAAGGGTGTCCCTGCGGGTGTGAACTGCAGGCCCCAGCCCTGTGCTGGTTAGAGTCATGGAGCAACAGCCGCTTTCCTCAGCACGAGTGAGGCAAGCTGCTTCCGCACAGATTGTGAAACAGGGTTTAGGTTTCTTCCCTCGTGGACGAGAGGCCAGGGGCCTGCCCCATCAGCCCGCCTTCCCAGCAGGTCACAGACCATCCCCACCCTGGCTGGCCTGGAAGGGTTTGACCAGAGCGGATCATGCAGTGACCAGGGCCAGGGCGGCTGGCAGGGGCGGCCTCCGTTTCCATTCTGTCGCCTAAGCAGCCTGGGAGATGTGGGCCTAAGCTTCAGTGAGGACGACAGTCTGTCTTGGAATTGGGCCTCACGGGGCAGAGTCCACAGACAGGGCCAGGAAAAGAAGGTGAGGGTGTAATGTCATTCAGAGACCAGCTGCACCCAGGGATCACCTCCTGGAGGCACCTAGAGTGAGCAGGGGGCTAAGTCAGCCGACAGTGTGGCTGTGCAGCCCAGGCCTATCCCAGCAGAAGGCATGAACCATCAGCAAATGAGAAGGTCTTGTTCAGAGCTGGGGCCTTGGGAGCATCCTCATGTTTCAGCCACTGTGCCCTGCCTTCCTGTCTCGATGCCCAGGGTTCCAACTCCAAGGTGGAACGGCCAGCGTGTGGCCTCGGTGAGGTGGCCACCTGGGGTGGGTGTGGGCTGCCCGCCTAGTGCCCCTGGGAGGCAGAAGTTTCTTTGCCTGAAATAAAGGAGCGGGGGTGGAAAGCCAGAAGGGGCAGAAAGCCAGCGGGGGCGGAAAGCAAGGAGGGACAGAAAGCAAGTCACTGCAAGGCGGAGCTTCAGACCCCGTTCCCTGCGCTTTCACACTCTGCCCTGGCCTGCAGGCCACAGGGGAGCTGAAAGGACCAGATGCCCAACTCAGGGGAGTCTGTGTACCCCATTTTGTTCTGAGATCCACAGGAGAACCCAGAATCTCTTCTCCTTCCACTCATATGGAGGGCAAATTACAACAAAAGGACGAAAATATTGCAGGTTTACCACGTGCCAGGCCCTGACAGGCTGCTTGCTCATCCCCACAGCACGGTGGTGGCCATGAGTGTGTGCTGTTAACAACCCCATTTCAGGCCAGGCATGGTGGCTCAAGCCTGTAATCCCAGCACTTTGGGAGGCTGAGGCAGGCGGATCACCTCAGGTCAGGAGTTCCAGACGAGCCTGGCTAACATGGTAAAATCCCGTCTCTACTAAAAATACAAAAATTAGCCAGGCGTGGTGGTGGGAGCTGAGATCGGCCACTGCACTCCAGCCAGGGCAACAGAACGAGACTCTGTCACCAAAAAAAAAAAAAATTTAAAAATTAACCAGGTGTGAGACGGGCACGGTGGCTCATGCCTATAATCTAATCCCAGCACTTTGAGAGGCCAAGGTGGGCAGATCACCTGACGTCAGTTCAAGACCAGCCTGGCCAACATGGTGAAACCCCATCTCTACTAAAAATACAAAAATTAGGCCGGGCGCGGTGGCTCAAGCCTGTAATCCCAGCACTTTGGGAGGCCGAGACGGGTGGATCACAAGGTCAGGAGATCGAGACCATCCTGGCTAACCCGGTGAAACCCCGTCTCTACTAAAAAATATAAAAAACTAGCCGGGCGAGGTGGCGGGCGCCTGTAATCCCAGCTACTCGGGAGCCTGAGGCAGGAGAATGGCGTAAACCCGGGAGGTGGAGCTTGCAGCGAGCTGAGATCCGGTCACTGCACTCCAGCCTGGGCAACAGAGCGAGACTCCGTCTCAAAAAAAAAAAATACAAAAATTAGCTGGGCGTGGTGGTGCGTGGCTGCAATCCCAGCCAGTCAGGAGGCTGAGTCGGGAGAATTGCTTGAACCAGGAGGCAGAGGTTGCAGTGAGCTGAGATCGCGCCACTGCTCGCCAGCCTGTACGACAGAGCAAAACTACCTCTCAAAAATAGAAAAAAAGAATGAGGATTCATCAAGCTATTATTGTGTGCCAGGCCCAGGTACACATGGCACGCAGCTGTCCTCACCGGCCCTGCTGCCACGGCCACTCTGCGGAGGAGGAGGCAGGCTCTGAGCGGCTGAGAAGCAAGGCCTCCGGTCCCAGCCAGTGGGAGACGGCTGCACAGACTGGGGCCTCAGGCTCTGCCTGCCCCGCCCCTGACTCTAGCCTCGGAGAAAGGCCAGGCCTCTGAGGAAAACCATTTGCCACAGTCTCACTCCAAAGCCCCTTTTTGGGACAGTCATGATCAACCAAGCGAGGAAGCGGAATACCAGCCTTTGCCCCTGTGCTGCAGCCACCTTTAGGGGGGATCCTGGACAGTTCCCAGGCAGTGTGACTTGGTGGCCCCGCATACCTTGTCATGGTAAGTGGACGGGCACAAACACTGGGCCCCCCAGCCTGGGCTCAAAGGCCAACAGGCCTGGCCCCAGCTGTGTAAAGCAAGCTCACCTTTAGGGACAAACTTCAGCGAGCTGCTGAATATTCAGAATCGGGACTGCCCTGGCTTGGGGCCATCGTTCAGGAACTCGTGGCCCAACCCATTGCCACACTTGCCACAGGACACCTGGAAAGATCACAAGGCAGCTGCATGAGCTTCTGGCCATGAAACAGCCGCAGTGAAGGCCCTTACTGGGGGCCTTCCCACATGCCCATTTCCCAAGCTGACCACCGACATAAGAGGTTGACCTTTGTCCTGGAGCCCGTACAGGAAACCTGTCCTGTTTCCCACATTTGCACCAGAAGGCCAGTCTCTCCCGATAGCCTGGGGTGGCAGCTCCCTGGCGGAGGCCACAGGCCTGGAGCAGACAGCCTCTAAGCCCCTGGAGCTGTGGGGCAAGCAGAGGGAGGAAGGTGGCACTGGCTCTCTGCTCTCCCTGGCCGCCCCCATCCCTCCCCCACCCCCGTGGGCCCTCACCTTCAAGGCTTCAGGTCGATTGTGCTCTGGACGCTTGGCCACGCTGTCAGCGTGAATGGTCTCAGTGAATGCCGGCCAGGGGGACGAGTGTGCATACTTCGAGCGGCTGGAGAACAGCTCATAGCCACACTTGGCACACACATAAATGCCTGTGGTGGAAGGAGAGGCAAATGTAGAGTCCTCAGCTCCAGCTTTTCGGGGGTCAAGCTCCCAAATCCACAGACCCAGGCAAAGACAGCGCTGTCCCGTTCCAAGGGTGGGCTGTGCTCCTTCCCCATGCACCTGCCATGGGAGGCGCTGTGCTAAGCTCACGTTTAGTAGATGTGGCAGAGACCAGAGGATTCACCTTTCACAATCATCCCCTTGATTCTTCTCATAGCCCCGTGATGGGCCATCTCCTAACATTTCCATCTTTGCTTGGTGATGCAAAGACACCCAGCTACAGCGTGTGCAGCGTGAAGGAGCCTGGGCAGTCCCATGAGGACACGGAGCTCCCCCTTGCTCCCCTAGTTCCCCCAGGGTCATACACGGCAGGGGCCCTGATGTGGCCCCATCACCTGGTCCCTCTCCCTTCTCAAGTGGCCATCCCTGCTGCCCAACAAGGCCCTAAGCTGGACACCCCGGCACTGCCCTGCTCTCCAGGCAAGAAGAGAACAGTCCCAGAGAAAAGGCCTCCAGGCCACACAGGAGCCCAGGAAAAAAGAGGGCTGGGGATGACAGATTTCAGCCTACCCACAAAGGATCACTTTAGAGTGGAGGGGGTGGGAAAGTTGCAAAACTGATTTGCAGAACTGTTTGAAGGACTGAAAACAGGAACCTCCCAGGGTGCTGAGTCACCTCTCACCCATCACCTGGGGACAGCCTCCCCTGGAAACTGTAAACTACCCAGCCTTTCCCAGGAACTGGAGAAGAAAGCAAAGAGGAGCCAGCAGCTGCCGTGGAAGTGGAGTTTCTGGCTTGGCAGAGCAGCCTGAGGACAACTGGGGTCCACAGCCAGAGAGTCTTGTAGGGGGAGGCTTTGCCGGGATGGTCCTGTGTCACAGCCCAGCCCCCTACAGGGGTGACACGCAGCAAATCCGCCCAAGGAAGACCAATGCACTCAGACTTGCCTGTGGATGTGTTTTTTACCAAATTAGTTCACTGCTAGGCGAGCCCAGCCCAGAAGGGGACTCATCAGGGCGAGTGTGGAGGGCTGGTCATGCCCCAAACCACCCCATGCTGTCTGCCTGGTCAAACTTAACTGGCGGTTGGCAGAGGCCTGGTGGCACTCCTGTTTCCCCAATCTGGAGTCCCTGGGCAGGTGGGAAGGCACCTGGGCCGGCACATTAGGATCTGAAGGGGACATTCTATGCTTGCCGGACTCCTCCCAGAGATCCCGGACTCGGGGAATGGGAAGGGCCACGGTAACACCCGCGGGATAACCCGCGAAGGGGCGCCCTGGCCACAGGAGCTGGCTCTGGACAAGAACTTGGCCTCTCCGAAGCCCCGACCCTAACCCGAATTCCCCCAGCGCCATCACTTTGGAGTGAAGGGGGCAGAGAAGGGGTACCACCCCCACGTATCCCGACCCCTTAGAGTCCCCCGAAACGGCACGTTCACACTCAAGGCCTGCCTCCTCCAGGACGGTGAGCCCCCAGGCCCCCTCTCTTCGGGTACCGCACTCTCCTCGGCCCCAGGCTCCCCGCTCCTCCGCAGTCCTCTTGACCCATGTTCGCTTCTCCCCGGCAGTCACATTCGCCCCCGTTCCCGGCTTGGGAGAGACATCACCCTCGGAGGACAGCGGCGCCCCCTCTAATGTGCGCCCCCTGCCGCGCTGCCCTCCCAGCGAGAGGCCGCAGGACCAACCGGGCTCAAAGTGATTCTGGAAAACCTCGCCCCCGAAGAAGCTGCAGAACGACATGGCGCCGCTGGAACCGCAGCGCACTTGCGGCAGGCAACTGACCCAAGGCTGCCGACCCGACGACCGCCGGGACCGCGCGTCGCCTCCCGCCCCTCCCGAGGTTGGCCTGGCTGCCCGGAGTGCGAATCCGGCTTCCGCAGGAGGCCCCGCCCCTCCTGGGGGCCGGTCCAATCCGATCTTCCCAGCAGGCTCCGCCGTCGGTGACTCAGGGACCACTCCTGAGGCCCCGCCCCGAGGGTGCGAGTCAGTCCCGTCTTCCCAAAACCTCGCCCCCGAAGAAGCTGCAGAACGACATGGAGCCGCTGGAACCGCAGCGCCGCGCGCGACCTTTGGCCCAAGGCTGCCGACCCGACGACCGCCGGGACCGCGTCCGCCTCCTGCCCTCCCGAGGACCAATGGCTGCCCGGAGTGCGGGCCCGCTTCCGCCTTCGGGAGGCCCCGCCCTCCTGGGGGCCGGTCCAATCGATCTTCCCGGCAGGCTCCGCCCGTCGGTGACTCCAGGGACCACTCCTGAGGCCCCGCCCCGGTGCTGATCCAGTCCCGTCTTCCCAAAACCTCGCCCCCGAAGAAGCTGCAGAACGACATGGAGCCGCTGGAACCGCAGCGCACTTGCCGCAGGCAACTGACCCAAGGCTGCCGGCCACGACGACCGCCGGGACCGCGTCACGCCTCCCGCCCCTCCCGAGGACCGTATGGCTGCCCGGAGTGCGGGCAGCTTCCGCCTTCGGGAGGCCCCGCCCCCTCCTGGGGGGCCGGTCCAATCCGATCTTCCCAGCAGGCTCCGCCCGTCGGTGACTCAGGGACCCTCCTGAGGCCCCGCCCCGAGTGTAGTCAGTCCGTCTTCCCAGCAGCGACCCCCGCCCATCAGTAACTTCCAGGTATCCCTCTTGGCCCGCTTCCTCTAGGCCCCGCCCTCCGCAATGGCCGTCCTGAGGCCCCGCCCCCGAGGGTGCTAGTCCAGTCCCGTCTTCCCAGCAGGCCCCGCCCATCAGTAACTTCCAGGTATCCCTCTTGGCCCGCTTCCTCTAGGCCCCGCCCTCCGCAATGGCCGGTCCAATCGCATCTCTCCGGCAGGCCCCGCCCATGGAAACTCCGAGGGACCACCCCTGGGCCGCTTCCCCAAGTCCCCGCCCCTGCCGTCCCGCGCGCGCTGGTGGCTAGGGGTGCAAGTGGGGCCTGGCCAGGTAGGCGGCGGCGCGCACCCATAGGGCCGTGTCCCCCCAGTCCAGTCCCTCGTACTAAGCCCGGAGACGCTGGAGGTCAGCCTTTCCGCGCCCAGCTGAAACCGCCTTTGCAAAATTATGACTGAGACGGTAAAAGAGATCTAACTTAGCCAACTCTATCTTGCTTCTAACCTCCAAGCTGTCCTTGTTCATCCCTGGTGGTAGGCTGAAATAACTTTGGGAGAAACTCAGTATATAGTTTTTTTGTTTTTTCTTTCTTTCTTTCTTTTATAAGATGGAGTCTTACTCTGTCTCCAGGCTGGAGTGCAATGGCGCGATCTCGGCTCACTGCAACCTCCAACTCCCTGGTTCAAGCAATTCTCCTGCCTCAGCCTCCCGAGTAGATGGGATTACAGGCATGCGCTACCACGCCCAGCTAATTTTGTAATTTTGTATTTTTAGTAGAGAAGGGGTTTCTCCATGTTGGCCAGGCTGGTCTTGAACTCCTGACCTCAGGTGATCTTCCCGCCTTGGCTTCCTAAAGTGCTGGGGTTACAAGTGTGAGCCACCGCGCCCAGCCAGTTTATAATTTACAGTTTAAAACAAAGACAGTAAGGGCCCTTTCCCAAAGCAGACCTCCTTGTTGCCTGGGGACTAGATACAGGCCTAACATTAGCCACAGTATTAGAAATTATGGTTTAGGAGTCATGCATCTGGAGGCTACAAGATTCTGACCCTCCCTAAACCGCTCCTAAGATCAGTGCTTGAGATATTTTGCTGACCCTGCACTTGATGGATCAGCTGGCACCACCCAGATCCATAAACTGGCTCCTGTGATCTTGCAACCCCACCTAGCAACTGACTGAGCGCAAGAAGACAGCTTCGACTCCCTCTGATTTCATCCATGACCAATCAGTACTCCTGGCTCACTGGCTTCCCCCAACCCACCAAGTTATCCTTAAAAACTCTGCTCCCCGGCACTCTAGCAGCCTGGGCGACAAGAGCAAGACTCTGTCTCAAAAAAAGAAAAAACCCTCTGCTCCCCAAATGCTCGAGGAGATCGATTTGAGTAATAATAAAACATAAAACTTCGGTCTCCCGCACGCCAGCTCTGCGTGAATTACCCTTTCTCTGTTGCAATTCCCCTGTCTTAATGAATCGGCTTTGTCTAGGCAGCAGGCAAGGTGAACCCCCTGGGCGGTTACTCAGCACTCTGAGACACCATAGGAAGGGTCGCCTCCAGCCTTTATTAGACATTGGGGCAGACGGTGCCGTGCGCTTCAGGGCTCATCCACCCCACGCAGCCTACAAGTCTCCCGAGGTCTCCGGTTTTTCCTTCTCCAGATGCTTCTTTTGGGGGCCCTGGTTGAGGGGGTGGTGCAGGAGGAGCCTTAGTCACAAGAGTCTGGCCAGAAACACCCCCTCCTCCAGCCAGGCCCTAGATCACTCAGAGCCAGCCCTGCTGCTGCTGCCCTCCCAAGGTTGCTTCCTCCCCCATCTTCTCTTCTAAAGAATCAGTGCCCAGGGATAGACCCTTAAGAGTCTCTCCTGCAGGCCGGGCGCGGTGGCTCACGCCTGTAATCCCAGGACTTTGGGAGGTGGAGGCGGTTGGATCATGAGGTCAGGAGATAGAGACCATCCTGGCTAACGTGGTGAAACCCCATCTCTACTAAAAATACAGAAAATTAGCCTGGCGTGGTGGCACATGCCTGTAGTCCCAACGACTTGGGAGGCTGAGTCGGGAGAATCGCTTGAACCCGGGAGACGGAGGTGGCAGTGAGCCGAGATCGTGGCACTGCACTCCAGCCTGGGTGACAGAGCGAGACTCTGTCTCAAAAAAAAAAAAAGAAAAAAAAAGAGTCTCTCCTACAGGTGAGCTCAGGGAAGTCCCTGCCAGCTCCAGCTCCCTACTCGGGCAGGCTGGATGTGGAGCCGGAGCCCCAGAGAAGAACAAGGATGGGGGCGGTGAGCTCACCATGAAGGCCCTCTTCTCTTGGGCTGTCTGGAAGCGGCCATGGCCAAACTTGGAGGTGGTGTCGATGAACTTGAGCTCAATATTCTCCACGGCCTGGCGGCTGTGGTGCACCAGGAGGGACTGGGGAATCCGTGGTAAAGTAGACATCAAGGGCGGGGATCCCCCACACCCTGCTGTGACCTCCAATCCCCACCAGGAAGGTCTTGCTCACCTAGTTCCTGCCAGAGCCCTCCCTTTCTGCTCCCACCACTCCATGCCCCTCGTGGCAGGCCGCAGGGCAGGACAGGCTGGCAGCCCTCAGGCACCCACTCCCCAGCCACCCAGCACTGCCGACCTTTCTCAGCGTAATGACCCGCTTCTTGGTACCAGCAATACACCCCTTCAGCATGACGAAGTCGTTGTTCACTTCCCCGTAGTGCGGGAAACCACCCTGCAGAGCACACAGGTCAGGGGCCAGGCCCGGAAAGGGCTTCCGAGTTAGTGGACATCTGGGGGCCCTGGGAGAATCCCCACAGGGGGCTGTGACAGGCAGGAGCCCCGTGCCCCGCCCCCAGGGGTAGGGGTGACTATCACATGGACCCTACTGAGGGCAGCATCTGAGTCACAAGCTAAGTCCTTTTCATGCATTGTCTCACTTAACAGTCTGGATTTTTGTTGGGGGAGACTGAGGAGCAGAGGAGTGGAGTCAGTTGCTCCAAGCTCCACAGCTGCTAAGTCCTGGAGATGTGGCTTGAGCCCAGGTGGCCTGACTGCCAGGCCACAGTAGAAGCTGCCGCACTCCACACCCGCATGACAGCAGCTAGAGTGGAAGCTGCCTCCAGAGGAGGCTCGGAGGATGTGGGACGCAGCAGGGATTTCGTGCTTGTGACTACATCCAAATGTTTTGGACAACTGAGGCAAGGGTCCCACATCACTGCCCAGCTGTCAAGGTCTTCTGTCCAGTGTGTCTAGGGGGGCAGCGTCCAGCTGTGGGGCACAAATCTTGAGCCCCTGGGGCAGGGAGCATCCAGCTGGGGCTGCAGCATGCCCCCTGCATGTATACCAGCCCCCTTGGCCAGCCTGACCCCACTCCAGCCCTCACCAGCGGTGTGATGGGCCTGGCAGTCGCCCCCTCCCGGCCTCACCAGTGGTGTGATGGACTTGGCAGTCACGTCGTAGCTGGTGGATGCATTGTTCTTCACCAGCTTCCCGTCCTCCATGTGCAGCCCCCTGCCAATGCGGTAGATCTGCCAGGAGAAGGGGGCACATGCTGGGGCAGGAAGTGGCCTCTGAGGCCAGCAGCCCATCCAGGCCCATCGGCCCACGTGCTCAGACTCAGTGCTGGTGTGGGCATCTCTTGACCCCGGCAGTGTCTGGGTCATGCACCCCACCCACTGAGGCCAGTACTGAGGGCTGGGGTCCGACCACACAGTGTCCTGCTACGCTGCCTGAGGACGCACCTTCTTATTGAGCTCTGTGCGGTGGTGATAGCCCTTCTGCCCGGCCCGAGCAATGGAGCAGCCTACGCGGGCAGGGTGCCAGGCGCCGATGCAGGCCACCTTGCGCAGGCCCTTATGGGTCTTCCTCGGGAGTTTCTTGGTATGCCAGCGGCTTGTGACCCCTGTGAGTGGGAGGGGCTGGTGGCTGACAGGCCAGGCTGGTCCCCACTGCCTCCAGGAAGCCTGCCCTGGAGCTGCCATCCCCACTGAGCCCTACCTTTGACACCTCGACCCTTGGTGACAGCAATGACATCAATGACCTCACTCTGGCTGAACACGCTGTGCACGGGCACCTGCTTCTCCAGCTGGGCCTGGGCCCAGGCCACCTTCTCGGCCACCGTGCCACCGTTCAGCTGGATCTCCATGATGTGGGCCTTCTTCTGCCGGAAGGGCAGCAGTTTCATCTGCAGGACATGGCCAGAGGTCACACCATGGCCCATGGGATCACACCCCAACCTGAAACACGGCATGGCCAGCAGTGACCCCTGCCATCTTCCACGCATGCATTCATTCACGGGTGTTCCCAGGATCAGGCTGCAAACCATGTGTTGTGCTAGGCACTGCGGATCTGGTGTAGAATGAGGCAGACGGAGTCCCACACCTCGGGAGCCACCATCTCACCGGGGACAGAAGGAAGTCAAGTAACTCTTGGAGAGGACAGAGTGCTCTGATGGGCTCTGGGGGCTGGTGTTTCAGATACAGTGGTCGGGCTTCTCTGAGGAGGTGTCGCTGCTAACAAGAAGGAGCTACGAGGCAAAGATTGGAGAGGCCCCGGGCAGCAGGACCCCGCATTTGCACAGGCCTGGTGGCACGGGAGGAAAGTTGGTGGGACAGAGAGGAGACCAGTGTGGCCAGACGGTGGGGAGCAACAAGTGTGGGGCAGCGCCTGAGAGTGGGGAGCTTGGACTTTCTTCCAAGTGCAGGCTGCGATGTGATCTGATCGGATTTTTTTTTTTTTTTTTAATGGAGTCTCGCTCTGTTGCCCAAGCTGGAGGACAGTGGGGCAATCTCGGCTCACTGCAACCTCCACCTCCCTGATTCAAGCGATTCTCCTGCCTCAGCCTCTTGAGTAACTGGGATTACAGGTGTGTGCCACCATGCCCGGCTAATTTTTTTATATTTTTAGTACAGTTGGGGTTTCCCCGTGTTGGCCAGGCTGGTTTCAAACTCCTGACTTCAAGTGATCCACCCACCTTGGCCTCTCAAAGTACTAGGGTTACAGGCATGAGCCACTGAGCCTGGTCTGATTTTTATTCTTTTATATTTTTATTTTGAGACAGGGTCTCACTCTATCACTCAGGCTGGAGTACAGAGGCATGATCAAGGCTCACTGTAGCCTTAACCTCCCGGGCTGAAGCAATCCTCCCACCTCAGCCTCCTGAGTACCTGGGACGACAGGCACTCACCGCCATGCCCATTTTTTTTTGTTGTTTTTATTATTTATTTTGTTTGTTTGTTTTTATTTTTTATTTTTTTATTTTTTTGAGACAGAGTCTCGCTCTGTTGCCCAGGCTGGAGTGCAGTGGCGCGATCTCGGCTCACTGCAAGCTCTGCCTTCTGGGTTCACGCCATTCTCCTGCCTCAGCCTCCCGAGTAGCTGGGACTACAGGCGCCTGCCACCACACCTGGCTAATTTTTTATATTTTTAGTAGAGACGGGGTTTTACCACGTTAGCCAGGATGGTCTTGATCTCCTGACCTCGTGATCTGTCTACCTCGGCCTCCCAAAGTGCTGGAATTATAGGCTTGAGCCACCATGCCTGGACTTTTTTTTTTTTTTTTTTTTTGTAGATATGGGGATCTCCCTATGTTGCCAAGGCTGGTCTCAAAGTCCTGGGCTGAAGCAATCCTCCTGCCTCAGCACCCCTCTCCAAGTAGCTGGAACTACAAGCATGTACCACCATGCCCAGCTAATGTTTAAATTTTTTGTAGAGACGAGGTCTCGTTTGGTTGCCCAGGCTGCCACCTTGGCCTCCCACTGTGCTGGGATCACAGGTGTGAGCCACCGGGCCTGATTTTTGTTTTTTTGGTTTTTGGATTTTTGGTTTTTTTTTTGAGACTCTATCACCCGGGCTGGAATGTCGTGGTGCGATCTCAGCTCACCGCAACCTCCACCTCCCAGTTTCAAGTGATTCTCCTGCCTCAGTCTCCCAAGTGGCTGGGATTACAGGCACCCACCATGCCCAGCTACTTTGTTTGTATTTTTACTAGAGATAGGGTTTTGCCATGTTGGCCAGGCTGGTCTCGAACTTCTGACCTCAGGTGATCTGCCTGCCTTGGCCTCCCAAAGTGCTGGGGTTACAGGCATGATCCACTGTGCCTGGCTTGATTTTTTTTTTTTTTTTTTTTTTTAAGGTCTCTGGCTGGTGCTGTGTGAAGCACAGGCTGTGTGATGTAGAGGTGGAGACAGAGAGGCCAGCGGGGATCACATGGTGACCCACAGGTGTGTTCAGAGTAGGTATGTCCGGGGCAGGTGTGTATGGAGTAGGTCTGTATGGAGCAGGTATTTACAGAGTACCTCCTGCATACCAGGCTCTTGGTGGCAGCTGTGGCCCCACCCAGGGCCTCTGCCCATCTGGAGTCTGTCCAGGGAGATGAACATGCGCCAATGACTGGCCCAGGCATGGCCTGCATGTGTGTGAGCAGCTGGGGGCAGTGTGGGTTCAGGGGGCTGCGGGAAGCTCAGGGTCGGGGGCACTGCTCTAGGGCCTAGGGAAGCCTTCCCTGAGGACAAAGACGCCAAAGAGTGTTCCAGAATAAGCTGGAGGGTGCCGCCTGCCTGTCAGCCTACAGCAAGCCAGACCCACGTACCAACACCTATTCCTGTGCACACTTATGCTGGAAACCAAAGGGAGGTGACCGGCCCTCCACACTGCACACTTGGCTGGGAACCCGGCCCTTCAGGGCGTGCCAGGGTCCTAGTTGACTAGCTGGCGTGGCTGATGCCCCCGGCACCCCAGATGGCACCGATGCCTTTCAGCAGCCATCCCTGAGGCCACACGTGGCCAGTGAGGCTGGCCAGCCGCTCCTCTGGGCCTGTGCCAAGGCTCAGGTATTTTTAGGCCGACATTTGCCACGGCTCCTGGAAGCTGGGGTGAGGGAGCATGGGCTTAGGGACTGGCCGACAACAGAGGGTCAGGGGCTGACCTGCGTGTGGACAATGACCCGAATGACCTTGCAGTACTTCTTCATGGCGGCGAAGTCTTTCTGTAGCTGCTTTTTGCCGTCTGTGTCCCGCCACCTCTTGCAGGCCTTGGTGAAGGCTTTCTTCTTGCTCTTGTGCCTGAGTCATGCGCAGGAGGGTGCTCAGAGGCCTCCAACCGGGGCAGCTCCTGAGGCCTATCCTGCCCCCGCTTTATCCCCAGCCCACCAAACAGGGTCCTACCGCTGGGACCGCCCCCCACCTGGAGACCTCTGAGCTAGTTCCAGCCACCATCTTTGAACATAGACTGTCTCTCCCTCTCTAGGCCCCGGTTTCCCCCCCTGTAAAGTGGGTATCCTCCCTGTCTCCCGGGGCCTGAGAGTGAGTGGGAGAGGTGCAGAAGCTCAGAGAAGGGGGCTGGCCAGCCCTGCAGTACAGGCACCTAGAAACCACCCCACCTGCCACATGGCTCGGACTGCTGGTCCCACTTCTCAAGGGTACAGTGGGTGCCATGGCCAGGAACCTTGGGCTTGGGAGCCATCCTTTCTTTTTTGTTTTTGGAGACAGGGTCTCACTTTTTCTCCCAGGCTGGAGTGCAGTGGCACAAACAAAGCCCACTGCAGCCTGGAGCTCCCAGGCTCAAGCAATCCTCCCACCTCAGCTCCCCATGCAGCTGAGACCACAGGCGTGCGCCACCATGCCTGGCTAATTTTTTGTATTTTTTGGTAGAGACAGGTTTTGCCATGTTGTCCAGGCTGGTCTGGAAGCCCTGAGTTCAAGCGTTCTGCCTGCCTCAGCCTCCCAAAGTGCTGGGATTATAGGCATGAACCATTGCACCCAGCCAGAAACCATAGTTTCTAACCCTCACCAGAGTTCTGGGAGGTGGACATTATTATTATTATTATCATCATTCCCATTCTATAGGTGAAGAAACCAAGATTTCTTTCAGGACTTACTGTCAGGGAAGATTTGAGGCCCGAGAATACCTTTCTTTCTACGTATAAGAGCTTCTCAGCTGGCTATTTCACTTTTTTTTTTTTTTTTTTTTTTTGTCAGAGTCGAGACAGAGTCTTGCTCTGTAGCCCGGCCTGGAGTGCAGTGGCTGGATCTCAGCTCACTGCAAGCTCCGCCTCCCGGGTTCACGCCATTCTCCTGCCTCAGCCTCCCGAGTAGCTGGGACTACAGGCGCCTGCCATCTCGCCCGGCTAGTTTTTTGTATTTTT